ATTCTCTAACAAAAATTATAATTCATCAACTCAAACATTTACTAGTATTACTACCCAAGAGATAAATTTGACTAAATATTAAATTTAATAATATAAAAATTAAAATGGATTATTATCAATTATGAAAAAATTTTCTTGTATACGTCATTTTATATATGTTCATTGGTCGTTTATATATAATAATATCTATTTTTTTTACTTGTCATTTTGAAAAGCACCAGTATGTCAAAACTTTCAATCATCAGAACATTAGATATTAAACTAATACATTAGTGGTACACAACTTAATAAACATGAAACACATCAAAATTGTAAAATTATACATTTAAAAAATCCATTTTATACATATGACTTTTTGACATATAGTGTTTTTAAATATATTAGTACGACACTCGTGTACTATACAAATATTTAAAATTAATATATTTATAATAAAGATAGTAATTATATGTATTCTGTTATGGAATTCTCAATATATATATATATAGAGAGAGAGAGAATGGATCAAATGAGAAAGGAAGATAGTGAAAGAAATGAGAATAAATTTGGATCATTTTTTTTTTTTTTTTGGTACAAAGAAGGAGGCCAAAGGCCTAAGCTAAACTTTTGGGGGATACGACACCCCAACGCAATCGTGATCAAGCCAATCTCTCAGTCCCATAGGAGTTAAAGAGAGTTGTTGTAGGCCAATCGGATAGGATGCCGCCAAGCTCGCCATGTGATCCGCTGCGAAGTTCACTTCTCTATGAACATGTTGGAGACGAACACACCATTCTCTTTGGATTAGTTCTTTAATGGCTCTAACCATGGCCTCATGATTCCCGCAAAAACCATCGCTTTAGAGACCATGTTCGTGACACATTGACTACCGATCTCGATGATAACTCGTCGAAGCCCCCGATCCCACGCCAATAATTCGAGACGAGACGGGACGATGGATTGAGGGCTTTATTATGAATATTGGGTCCAGTACTATAATAAATCTGGATCATTGAATACATTACATCAATGGTTAGAATTAAGTCAAAATGGTCAATCATTAATGGTAACATGGTAATTTAACATACACATTGTGGTCAAATGTACATATTTGCCCACTTAGTAAGGGTAAAATGGACAATACACAACAAATTACAACTCATCCACCCATACAGTGGGCTCCACACAAACCCACACTCAACATTCTCTCTCACACACCATCTCTCACACACTGTCTCTCACATAACACACACAAAAAAAACTCACAATATGCAGCCCAAAGTTCATGGCCACCGGCAGCCGTCTGCCACCCCGCCGCCGACCGACACAAGCTTCCCGCCGCCGTATGCAGCACGACCTGTCTCGCCATCTCGTCGGAGACTCGCCGGCCAAGGTGGAGTTTTTAAAACTCTGGCGATTTACAATTTGCAGCCTGTCGTTCATGGCCACCAGCAGCCGTCCGCCACCCCACCGCCCACTGTGACAAGCTTTCCGCCGTTGTCTGCAATACTATCCGTCCCGCCATCTCGTTAGAGACTCGCCGACCAAAGTGGTGGTTTTAAAAGTCCGACGAGAATCAACCGGAGAAATATTCAAGCCATATGTCGCTGCTCAGGGCCATCAACGTACGCCACGAGCCGCCACTGGAGTGTTGCGTATCTTCACCGAGAAAAACAGAAAACGAGCTCGCCATTCTCGTCGGAGCACCAGGCGGAGGAGCGCCGACGGTTGACTGACACCATGGCCTTCACGGCGAGAGCCTCTAGGTCGACGGGAGAGGTCCGATGTTGAGCGGCAGTGACAGTAACGGGAGGATGAAGCTTGTTAGGGGTATTAGAGAATTAAATAAGTTACAAGGACCTTTATGCAATTTCATAAACTTTAGTATATTGCATTTAGTACTCATGGCAGTTTTGTAATTTATTAAAAGTCAAACACATCATATTAATAATATATAAAATGCACAAAATCATGTGATAAAATGCACAATAATTTTTGTAATTTTAGTTTGTTTGGGTTTGGTTGATTTTTATGCAATCTTATATAGTCATTAATGTGTAACTCGTAATACGGTAATGTGTAGACCCTTAGGTTCTGTTTGTGGGTTGCTCTGTTGTGGGTCTGTTTGATGGCGTGGTTGTGATCGGGCGCGTGTTACCCGCGTTGTTTAGGGAGGTACTAGTCTATAGATAGCGTAGGTGTGTGTTTAGTTTATGTATGTGCATTCTCCTCATTCGGAGTTGATTCTCTACTAGTTGGAGTTGTTTTGTCCTTCGTAGGTATTTTGCTTTGTGCGGATATATGCATCAGCTTACGGTCTCAGCATCCTTCTTCGGACCGCTGTCGATAACTTGATAGCCCATTTTGGGTTTAGTTTAATCTAGGGCACTAGTGTTAGTGTTTCTCCTTGATTCCACTGGGTGGTGTGTCATTTTGGCTAGTTAGCCTGCGATATATATTTGTATTAGGTTCTTCTTCTTTTGAGCTATACAATCTATCGTTTCGTTAAAACAAAAAAAAAAAACATTGATAAACACATGTTTATCTGTTATGTAAGAAACATGTTTATTTTTCATCTATTCTGTATTTCAGTCGAATCAATCTTTTATTTTTAGGAAAGAAAGGAGTGACAGAAGGCTTTTTTAAAAAGAGGGACGCTCAGGCCGCTAGGGCCAAGTGTCATGGCTTGCAGCAGCCGAAAAAGAACTCACCCTTGCTTTAGCTCCCCTAAATTATTGGAATAGGGAATGAATCTAAATGAGACGAAATAAAACGAAATGCGTCGAAATGAGAGGCCTTGTATCGTTCGGTCTACCCACCCGGGCATCCCTCTCTTGGGACAGGTCGAAACTTTTTTTTTTATTTATAATTTGTTGTATGTACAAGAGGAGACCTCTGATCGTTCACCCAGGAAAGGTTCCTTGCTTTCGGGGTGGACCCTTTCACTCTATTTTATTATATCAAATAGAAAGAATTCGTTTTTGAACAGTGAATAGCAAAAGACAAAAACAAACATTTGAAAATGGTGTGGGAAAATAATGAGAAAAGCAAAGGAAAAAAGAAATAAGAAAGAGAAAATAAAAGAAAGCAATATTTCACAACCCACGTCCACCACGAACACCTTCACACGTGTAACTCGGCAAATAAATTTTCAAACATTTTCTTTTCCTTCTCTGCAATTTAAATTAAAATACTCAAACGTTTTTCCGTTTCAAACATTTACTCCAATCTCCAGAGTACTGTAGTACTATTTTTGTTTGTACTAAGAACCAACCTATTCACTTGTAATTGTAAAAGGCCATTTATCATTATTATATTCTTTATTTTATCTACTCGTTCAAAACCGTTCAAAGTGTGGGAGTTTCAGGAAGTTTTTGGTGGTGAGGAAGGTAGAAGCAACGGTGTCGTTTTGAACGATTGTTATTAAGATGGTTAAAAAGATACCTTTTTTTTGCCTTGTCCCTGTTGGGATTCCCTTTATACGTTGCTTTTGAGGTCACTTTCTTCTGATCAGTTCGAAAGTCCGACGAAAAGGGAAAGAAGAAATAAAAGGCTGTTCCTTGTTTAGGTGTTCATTTTTATCTTTGTCGAGGGGATCATACTTGCGAGTTTGTTGAGCCCTTTGTCTGTCATCCGCTATGAAGTCATACAATTGTGTAACTTTCTTTATCTTCAATTTTCTATTTTTTGTCATGTTTGCATTTAGTTTCTGGTTTTGGGCTGCGTGCGTATACTTTGTCCGATGATGGTTGCGTACAAAGTTGTGTGCCCAGTTGCTTGGTTGAATTTTAGTTCAAAATTCTGTTTATTTGGGCTGTTTGCTATATTTTTGCTATGGTGGTGGGGGCTAGGTAGGGTGGCGAAACAGAACTGGAAATTTCCGTCCACCTTAATTTGTCATGCGACCAGACGAGTACCGTGCTTTTTTTAAGAAAATAAAAAATAAAAAAATCAACTTTGTTAATTTAATGTCAAAATAATTTCTTATTAATTTTTTCTTTTCTTAAAAAAAAAAAAATATTTATAGCGTTTTCGTGTTCTGGGGTTCACACTTATATATTTCAAACTAATGTGTCATGCAGATGTTTCTCTTATATTTGAAGGTAGCATAGTTGATGATTGCAGTTGAGGCAATAGGACTAACCATGATACATAGTTCCTTGAAGATATGGCTGAAGATTTTTAGTTTAAGCAGTCTCTGTTCTATCTATCATTTTTCGTAGTTAAATTTCTTTTTTCAGTTGCTATGCCTTTGAAATATGTCATGACTTTGATTTTGCTAGTATCAACTTTCAAGGAGAGGCATAAGTTGTTCACTTGATGTTGATTGTGTAGTATACTATGGATGCCACAAATTTAGACTCACATGAACAGTTTCCATTAATTGATCTTTTCATGGGAATAATGAATGAGTTATCTGTTATCTTATTTTGAGGAGCAGTTGGAATATTATCATTCTTTCATGTCATGTGGAACCTCCGACTTACAAATTCTGCTTATTTTTCAGCCTTTTCCCCTGTCTGATCCTAAAAGCAGATATTGTCTCTGTAGCCTTTTGATAACGGTGTCTTTGATTTGTGGTGTTTACTTAATTGGCGGTGCATGGCTGCGGAAAGATTTATTTAAGGTACAAGTTTGGCATCACATAATGTATTCTTTGTTTATTTGAAGTGTATGTTAACAAGTACATATGACCCTGTTGTCAATAGTTGAATACTGTAGTTTGAGTTATTTGAGTTCATCTTTGTTTTTGTGTATAATTTGAAAAGACAGTCATTAGCTGCCAAGGTTATCTCGTTGCGAATTTCTGCCTTGCCACCGTTAGAATTTTGTGATGGATGGAAGTTATGGTGTCACTATAGCGGGATGTCTGCCTGCTGGCATCCACCATTGATAACATTGTTAGCCTCCTTTTGGTTGAAAAAGTATTCAAGAACAAACATAATTATATTTTGAATTAGAATTAAGAAATATCAACAGCTTGTCTTCCACCTCATTTCTCTTTACTATAGGGTGTTGGACTAGCAAGGTTTACCGGTTGTTTTCTTTCCATGGATTGTTTCAAGCCACTCTTTGTTGTGAAAAATTGCACTGCGTCTTTGTTGTGGTTCTCGAAAACGTGAAAGATTATTTTATTCTTGTATTTTAGTTATGGTTTAAATTGTGAACATGACATAGTATACATCAATGTACTTTTGAACAACCTTATTTGTATTGTAGTCTGCAAAAAAATTCCATGGCTTCATGTAATGGATTATGTTAATATTGCTGCGTAAAATCTATGCAGTTAGCACCGGGCATTGGACTAAAAATGAAACATCAACCGCAAGACTCGGATAAATGTGAGGTAGATGTTTTATTTGTTGCATATTATTGTTGGTATATAAACATAAGAGTTGTTTTAAGTACTTTGTTCTGCTCGTAAGATTATTTTGGATTGTGAAACTACTTTATCTACTTTTGCTCTTTTTCCTAGGTATTTTAATTTCAGAGAACATTACAGTTTCCTTTTTAACGTCTTGGTTCTCTGAACTTCTTTTGAAGGTCTCGTCTCTGGATATAGAAGTTGATGACAGCACGCATACTACATGCCTCGAAAGATGCAAAGTTTGCCATTTCCACTATTTTCTTTTTTGTTATTTTTCTGAAATATCAATTGCTTCTAAATTGAGGACTTTCATTTTGTCGCTTAGGGAGAATGCAGACCTATTGGTAGTGAAGCTTTGCCGAAAGGAATTATTTCGTCATCTTCAAACTTGGAAATGCGCCCTTTATGGGGACCTGTTTCAGAGGACGTATGTAATAACAGCATTACATGTTCGATTATCTTGATAGTCTAATGATGCTACTTGGCTACACCTTTACCGTGTAGCTATTAAAATCTGTGGGTTACGGTGAAAGGTAGTTTGGGGGGTGTTGGGTAGTTATTAGTTCGGCTTCTGTTTTTCCTTGAACAAAGCTTGCAAGTTTCGTTTCTATGTTTCCTTTAGGCTTTGCTTTCAATATTCTTTTTTGATTTTGTATTCTATTTACTTACAATGTAGTATATTGTATCAGTCCAAGTCAAACCATGGACCGGGTTTGTTGGCTATTGCAGTTGGGATAAAGCAAAAAAGACCGGTGAACCAAATTGTTAAGAAGGTAGTGTTCTCATGCGTTCATGCTCATTGTTCACTTTTTCTGTTCTAATTGCTGGAACCTCCATTTTGTTCTACAAAAGTTGACCCTGAACTTTAGCTTAATTATAAAAGATCCAGTTATCTCACTTGATGAATTACAAATCGCCTCTTGGTATTTTTCATTTTTGTTTATTATGAGAATCTACCCACTTTAAAAAAAAAAAGGTAGAATTTGTAAAACAGAAACAAATGCCAATAGTATATTTGAAAATTTTTATGATAGCTGAGTTGTTTCTTTGTATTATTCTTATTGCATTATAAATTATCTTGGTAGGTGAAAGCTCTGTAATATTTTTATTTTTCCTAAATATAACCGATCTTTTCCAAAATTCATCAAGACTATTCGGTTCATGACTCGTGTTACCGTGTGGGGTATATAAGCATTAACATCGACCACGTTATTCTTGCAGTTTCTTGAAAATGATTTTGTTGTGATGCTTTTTCATTATGATGGAGTTGTGGACGGGTGGCATGATTTAGAATGGAGTGATAGAGTCGTCCATATCTCTGCACCAAACCAAACCAAATGGTATTACCCGTAAAGCTTGTACTTGAGAATCATATTATTATATCTCCTTGTCTTGTAAATGGAGTCCATTCATGCTTCTGAAAAATCTTTGCTTAATGAAATAGGTGGTTTGCCAAACGTTTTCTTCATCCGGATATTGTTGCTGAATATGGATATATTTTTTTATGGGACGAGGACCTGGGAGTTGAGAATTTTCATCCGAGAAGGTGTGATTCACGTATATTTCATGTTTAGAAAATACTTGTTTTGGATTTATTTTGTTTAATGTTGAAAATTCGGATGACTTTGTTTATTGTCACTAAAGAGTTCGTTAAGTTAATTAACAAAAGTCGAAATGGTGAATTATTTGTGGATCAAAATATTATTCAGGATTTTGTTGTGATTTTTTGTACTTCTTTTACAGGTATACATCAATTGTAAAGGAAGAAGGTCTTGAAATTTCACAGCCTGCTCTTGACCGTGGTAAATCCGAGGTGCATCACCCCATCACTGTACGAAGGCGCAAATCGAGAGTGCACAGGTTAGGATAAACTGCCTTAAATCAAATGATTATAGATATTCACTCATCGTATACTTTAGTGGGAGAGTGGACGTGGGAAATGTTACTTAAATATCTATTTTCCCTACATTTACCATGACTGATTTTGCAGAATGAGTTGGTACATAATATTTGTGATGCTGAAGTTCAGTTGTGTAATGATGGTGATTAAGAGGAATGAATAAACAAATAAATAATAACAAAAACAAATTATTCCATTTACGACATGTGTTTCTTCTGCAAAAATGCAGCTGAATAACTGCTTCTANAACAGAAGATACCATAAGTTCAAAGGTGGCGGAAGATGTGATGACAACAGTACAGCTCCCCCATGTGTTGGGTAAACATAAAACTCTTTTTACTCTATTTAGTTTTATTCATCAAATGTCTAAACAGATGTTGAGTTCACTCTCATGTTCTTTCTATAAATGATCGTTTCAAACGATGTCCTTAAAAGTGCACTTATTGCTTCTATTCAGGGGATATTCTGGATAAAACAGAAAACTTTAAGCAAGTATTTTAAATTGTGAACTTTTTAGCTAGCTGATTTTTCTTTCTTTTATTTATAATTTTTTTAATAACAACAAGGCTTCACCTCAGAAATAGTTTTTAAAAGATATCTTATATTATTGTTTATGTCTTTTATGTTTTATGTTTTCTTGAAAGCTGAACACATTCTAATATTACTGGCCGTAAATTTCATGGGTTAAAATGTGGTGCAGTTGGGTGGAGATGATGGCTCCAGTTTTCTCCCGGGCAGCCTGGCGTTGTGCTTGGTATATGCTCCAGGTAACAACAAATTCACCGCGCGTACCTAAAAGATTTCTCTTTCTTTTAATTAATTATTTATAATTATTGAAGTCTGCTCATGTAGTTTATAACTATAAAGTACTTTACTTCCCTTCTTAAAACTATTCCTTTTATATTATTTACAGAATGACTTAATCCATGCGTGGGGCCTGGATATGAAACTCGGTTATTGTGCACAGGTGAGTAGAGCTAGAAATCTTAAATCTATGTGTGTTTGTCCAAACTGCCTTTCTGTGAGATAATAACACAAAACCATTGTCCTAATTTGCAGGGTGATCGAACTATGAAAGTTGGTGTAGTTGACGAGGAGTACATTGTTCACTTAGGTCTCCCTACACTTGGTGGCTTTTTAGATGATAAATATAAGGTATTACATTTGATACATTATGATAAGCAGTAGTGATGGGATCAAGATTTCGAGACGTTAGTTTATTCGAAACACATGCATAGATTTGAAATATCCCAAAATCCATTTGAATATTAAACTTACCTCAAAACTTTGATTACAATGCAAATTTTACTTGGTTTGCACTTTCACTGTTTTTCTAATTCTTTATAAATGGCAGTTCAATGAAGAATCACAGAATCATTCTTCACATTCAAACAACTCGCTGGATTTAGAATCCGTGGTATGATGAACCTTTATGCAAACTTAAAGTGAGTCATCAATTAGTAACCTGTTGTGTGGAACTGAAAATTTTGTGGGTACGAATTGCAGGCAGGTGATAATATGTACAACCTAAGTAACAGATCTGCGGTGAGTTTTACCGAGTTACTCCTAATGAAAACCGTCAAACTTTCGTATTTACATTATAAAAATCTAGAAAAGGAAAAAAGGTTGAAGCTTGGTTGGGTGGATGCAGGTTCGGAGACAATCGTACACGGAGATGTTAATATTTAATAATAGATGGAAAAAGGCGGTGAAGGAGGACCAGTGCTGGGTTGATCCATTTAGACGATCCACTCAAAGACCCAAAGTCAACTGAAAGCTGCCATTTTTTCTCAAGACTCTTGGTTGTATTGGTAATACTTGTATTGAACATTTTATCAAGCAGCTTTATTATTGTGACGAGCTTTATCCGAGTCGCCAGAGGCTTAACCCATGCCTGTACAGATTGTTTTGTCTTGTCTATTATGATTTTCTTTGTTAAATCCTCAACTCTCC